GGCTGACCGGAAAATGTCGAGAAGATCAAACCGCTGATACATGTGCTCATGATCATTTCCATCACTCCGAACTGGCCGTTCGTGCCGTCAAGGAACCGACTGCCGAACGTAATCGCAGGGGCAAGGGCTGCGATGAACCTTACTGCCACATTGGCCAAGGAGAGACACTACACTTCCTCAATAACAGCACTTTAGAATCATACAAAAACTTTGTAAACAAAAAAAGTCTGCATTCTGCAAGACGAAGGAACAGATACAAGATGGACGATACCGATTTCTGGAAGTTCTCCGGTGTGAAGGCATCGCCTGCGGATGTCGAGTCGCAGGCCCCCCGCCAACTTTCCAGTGAAGTCTAACGGACCGTAATCCTTCTTGGGAGCATGCGCGATGTTTCCGGACTCGTAGCGATACACAGCCTCCGCCTCGGCCATGATGAAATGCTGCGGGGCGATTGAAAGAAGCGCAAACAAAGGCTTGTGCCGAAAGACCTACCAAAGAAGCCGCACGGTTGCTGGGGCCGCTCCTTCGGCTACGACTTCAAGCGCTTCATGTTTCGACAAAACACAAGCCATCATACACAAACTGCTCTCAAATTATGCCAGTGGTGTTCGATCTTGTCTCGTATCAATGTATCAACAAATTATGCGCTTGTAACCTTAGCTGTAGCCTTCATTCTGCATGCACGCGGGTCGTTTCTGGCGATTGGGCACGTCTGCCATTTCGGCAATTGTCAACGTTGCTTGCCCGAGAATCTCTACTTGTGGTTGAAGTCGCAAGATCAAATTTAGGCACTCATCATGTGCCGTGTGCCACTGAAGATCCAAGCCTCGAACATTCAATGGAAAACTAAACCCTTCCGCCAATTCAAACCCCCTGCTGAGGAGTTTCACACCTCGCAAAGTCGACCTCGCAAGTCGCCCAAAACTCTTGGGATACATATGGGGAGTTCCGAATATAGGGGACCCCAATATAGCACCCTAAATAGTAGGATCCTTATTATAAGGACCCCCAAAATAAGGTACCTCTAATTTTCATAAACTCCCATATCGTGACAAGCCAAGGAACCTTCCGACCGGGGCATTCGAGGCGACAACCTGCACGATTCGAAGGCTCGGAATCCTTCACAGAAAAGGCCCCTGGGGGTGTAGGAGAAGAAAAGCAGCAAACGACAAACCCGCCAGCTGAGACGTCAAGTAGCAGAGCTTTTGGATTTAGGGATTGGATCTGTGCTTGAAGTGCTCAGCTCTGCATCCAAGGCATCTTCGGGCCGTTTTGGCGATCTGTCTTTCGTGACGAAAAAACTGGGAAGGAGGCTAGTTTCACATAGTAAATGACGTGCTGTCTTTGTTGTGGCAACTTAAAGTAAACCCCTGGTTAACTAACTTCAAGAATCTAGAACTGCGGCGGCCCTGAAGAACAAAAAAAAAAAGCATCAAACGGGGTGTAGGGTTTAGGGTAGCAGAATCCCAGTTGTAACAATCAGATAAAAAAGCAGTCAATCAATGACACGATGTTAACATCCCAAAACTACACCTGAATCCCCTTAACCACTCTTGAGCTCCAGAAAATTTCGGCCTAGGCCGTTCTATCAATCCTTACAAACCTCCAGAAAGACGCCTTTCAAAGCCTAAGTACTACATCAAGTCCAAACTTCTAAGGTTTAGGGTTTAGGGTTAAAACCCTAAACCCTAGACCCCTAAACCCTAAACCCTAAACCCTAGACCCCTAAACCCTAAACCCTAGACCCCGAAACCCTAAACCCCTTTATGTCACGCTGCAAGAGCCGCAGAGCCAGACCTGGAGCTTCCCAAAGATCCAGCGGCCGAGCGCAGCACATTCATGGACCTTAAGAATTAGGTTCGGAGGGGGCTGATAGAGTTATAAAGGGCTTGAAGAACAGGGGGGCTTAGACTATTCGATCAGGGGATTACGGTTTGGGGAGCGGGGTCAAGGTCTGAGATTCGGGATTCTTAGGACTTGCGGCTGCAGCAGCATAGTAGCATTTGCAGTAGTAGGAGTAGGAGCAGGGGCACGAGCGGTAGTAGAAGTAGTCGTCGTCGCAGCAGTAATAGTCGTCAGTCGCCATAGTCGTAGTCGTGGTCGTAGTAGTAGTAGT